CCGGCGGGAGGGCAGCCGCCGCCGTGTGGCTGGCGCGGAGGAAGTGTGTGGAGGGACGTGAGGGCAGGTGGCGGGAGGGAGCGGAGCGGAGGAGGGCGGGAAGCTCGGTGTGTGGAGCGGGAAGGAAGGAGACCCGAGGCGCCATGGCGGTGAGAGCAGCGGGGCTCCCCGCCGGGGTCCGCAGAGCGGGGGCGGGCCCGAGGCTCCCCTCGCTGTCCTTGCGCTTGGGTGTCCCTCAGGGAACCGGGCCTGTTGGGTTGCAGTGGAGCGCGAGCCGGCGACCCTGGCTCGCTGGGTGAGGGCCCCGGGGCAGGGGAGCGGAGCGGCCCCAGCACGCGCATGTCCACTGCCTGCCACTGCCGCCTCGCGCCGTGCCCCCGCCGTCCCATCAGCCTGCATGGAATCGCTGCACTGTCCATCCCCATCCTGCCTGGTCCCGGAGCCCGGGAGGGTCCTGGCCGCGGTGCCGGGGCGGGGAGGGCGCGGGGAGCGGGGTGGCACGCACAGGCGCGGTGCCCCAGCCGCGTGGGCCTTAGCGTCCCTTGCTTCGACGCGCCCCCAGGGCCAGGGCCGGTGCCGCCACCGCTAGGGTCTAGCGTGCTCGTGTTGCGTGAGAGGAGATGCCCCAGTCTTCAAAGCTGCTAAATGTTCTCTTTGCCATAAAGACTCCGTGTAACTGTGCGGACACTTGGGATGTTTCTGCTCGGCCCGGGGTCTGGTCTGGGTTTCTTTCCGGGAGAAGGGGAAGTGCATGGTGTGGGCTGAGCGTGCCCTCCCCAGACCCCGGCCGGCTCTAGCCGGCCTCCTGGAGGGCCGCCCGGGTGGGGCCGGGTCGCTGCAGGCCGCGGTGTGGCGGTGGGGCCGTGTTGGTGACTGCTGACCACTCAGGGCGCCTGCCCAGGCCGCGGGAGGGCCGGGGGGCGCTGAGCCTTGCCCGGAGAAGGCTCCCCGCCGAGCGGCAGGGACGAGGGGGCAGAGCCTGGGAGTGCTTTTTATAAATTATTTTCCTCGTAGATTTTATTTTTAATTTATCTCTGACCTGCCAGGGAGAGGAGAAGAGAGGAGAGAGAGAGATGCTGTGAGCACATGACAAAATAAAATAAAATAAAATGGATGATTCATTCTCAAGTGCAGTTTTTCCCCACTTGGATTCTCGTCAAGTGAGGCCGTGCTGGGGAGCCGGGGCTGGCAGGAGAGGAGGGGGCAGTCCTGGCACGGCGGAGCCGTCCGGAGGCGCTGCCCGCCAGCCCGCCTCGCCTGTGCGCCTGCCGCGGGCTGCAGGGTGCGCACCCGTGGCCGCAGCGGCCCTTCCCGCCGCACGGCTGCAGGCGCTCGCCTTAGGGTCACCGCGCTGCCCGTCGCCGAGAGCCTGGCCGCAGGACAGGCCCTGCAGTGTAGGACTGGAGATAACCTCCCGAAATGGAAGGGGTCTCCCTCAAATCAGACCACTGAGAGGAGGGCTTGCGGTGCAGCCTGGAATCGCAGCCCTTCGGGAGGCCAAAGCAGGCGGAGCACAGGGTCCAGCCCACCAAAACCAGCCCCCTGCGGTGACCCCAGCCCTGGGGGCGGAGGCTTTGGGCCGCCTCTGGGTGCAGGCTGCAGCCCGGGGCCCACCTCCAGGTGGGGGCTTACTGGGAACATGGCGTCTTCCGTGACTGCTGCTGTGAGCGTGCGCTCCCAGGAACGTGTGCCGCCCGCCGGGCACTGGCCTTCAGTGCTGCTAGAGCACCCGCGGTGGGGTTCAGTTTGGCAGCGTTATCTCCGGTTTCTGCCTTAAGCTCACCGGGCTCCCGCGCTCCCGCCTCTGGTGGTGAGGGTTTGTCATTGCCAAAAGGAGCGCTTTCCTGACCGGCGGTCGGTCACGTGTGGACCTCGGTGTGTGGAGGGCTGGGGGTGGAACTCAGCCTGGGCGCGCCTGGCCAGTGCTTTACGAGCTGCACCCCCAACCCTTCACACTGTTTTACGTTTTTAAGTTGTCCAGGCTGGCCTTTCAACTTGCACTCTTCCTGCCTCAACCTCTGTGGTAGCTAGGATTATAGGCCTGACCTAAAACTTGATTGTTAAAAGGGGAAAAAAAAAATCCTAAATTTGGAAAATACGCTGAATTTTGTGTTTTGAGACATTGTATGTATATGTAGCCCAGGCTCACTAGGATCCTTCTGCCTCAGCCTCCTCAGTTGGTGAGCCCTGCTGCGGCAGGTAGAGCGTTTTCTGCTTGGAAGGCCATCTGAGGGCTCAGGCCTGGGCACCGCCGCTGCCATTAACCCTGCTCAGGCCGGAAGTGAGGGGCAGTTCCGGCACACGCGGGGTGACCCGCTTGGGTGAGCTGGGAAGCGTGCCTGGCCCTGGCCTCCGCAGCGCGTGGCTTCAGTGTGAAGGAGACGGTGCAGACTCCATCGGCCTGCCTGGCGCTTCCCCACCAAGCTGGTGCTGGAGACACTCAGCACCCGGGAAGCAGTGGTCCAGAGACAGCCTCGGAATATGGCATGGGGACAGCCTCCAGGGCCAGCCCAGCGCTGCAGGGGCAGCTGAGCAGCAGGAGTCACACACATCTCCACGGAGCCCTGCCTCTGCCAGGCTTGTCCCCGACCTAGCATCCTGGCTGAGTCAGACTTCTCCGTGCTTCACTTTCTCTCCGGCACACAGCTGGAGGCAGCACTTTGCAGAGAATCAGTGTCCTCACCCCACCTTCCGACTTCTGCCAATCTAGCACTCTGGGAGGCCGAGGCAGGAGGAATGAAGGCTCAAGTCCAGGCAACTTGAAGATAGCCTTTCTCAGCGTAAAGGTCCTGGGTTCAGTCCCCAGTATGGCAGGTGTTGGAGGAGACTGCTGGCTCCCTGGGTGCGGGTGCTAAGATAGGAATCACAAGTTCAAGGCCATCTGGGCTACGCTGCCAGATCCTGTCTCAAAAATCCACAACCACAAGAAAACCTGCAGGCACTGACCTCGGGCAACCGTTCACAAGCTCACACCCACAGTGTTTTGGGTACAGCCTGGTGCCCAGGTGGAGCACGACGTCTGTTCCTGAACTGATGCTATCTGCACACAAATTCAGGAACTGGATGCGGCTGGCGGCCGGAGCGCATCTTCCCAGCCAGCGTGCTTTTCCATCGTGGGACCTGTGCTTGGTTGTCCGGGGTGGTCAAGCCGTTTCCTGTCACGGACCCATTTAGCTGTGAGATGTGGGAACTGCCATCTCGTCAGGGTCCCAAGACGCACTGCCTTTTCACCTTTATCACACAGGCAGTCACCGTCTCCACCTCAGGTTCTAAACTTCACAGTGTGCGGGGAGCCAAGGGAGCCGGGGTGCAGGCGAAACCTAAGGCCTCAGGCCTACACCTGTCGGCGTCTTCCCAAGCCTGTGCTGGTCGAGTCTGCGGCACAGGTTGTCTCGGGAGGACTTGGCATGGGAGTGCGCCGAAGAGGGCAGAAGCCCCGGTCCCCTTTTGGGTGTACAACAGCCACAGAGCGGTTAACCCTGCTGCTTTTCCAGCCGAGTTTGCATAACAGACAGAGGCTGATAGTCCTGGTGAAAGCCCAAAGCCTCCTCGCTTGGCCTTTCAGCTAAGGAAAGGAGCTGGCGCTCCGTGGTGTTTTTGCTTTTTTGTGTCAGTGTTTTGAGATGTCCCACTATGTAGTCCAGCCAGGCTTTGAACTCGCCGTGTAGCCAGGCTGGACTCGAGCTTGCAGTGCTGCTCCTGCCTCGGCCCTGCAAATGCTGGGCTGACAGGTGTGCCCCGCCGCGTTAGCTCCCCTTTGTTCCCCTTTGTGCTAAACACAAGTCTGATGAATACACTTGACTTGATGTTCACCCTCCAGGGGCCGAGGTGATAGCAAAGGCCAGGCATCCCAAAATGGCCCAGCCAGACCTCAGGCCACACGCACCGCGGCCTGGCCGGCTTGGTCAGGGCCGACCAAGACCTAGGAATCCACTGTGGGAAGCACCATACACACCAAGCTCAGTGAGTATTTTAACATGGGCTATTTAAACAGAGACGGAAGAACTGCCTGCGCATATTCCAAATTTCCTATTTCAGCCTGGCCTGCTGGCCTCAGCCAGTGCACGCCTCATCCCGCAGGGGTTTATTTCAGATTTTGTCGCTATACAGCCTTCAGCAGTTTCTTCAGTGGGAAGCTCAACAAGGTCAAGATCAAGATCAATTCCAGGCCATCACATCGCGCTCAGTATCCTCATGCTCAACACGCTGGGGGCGCAGCAGGACCCTCGGAGACGGCAGAGCCGCTCACAGCCGTGCCCGGGTGCTGTGCTGACCACAGACCCGAGCCAGCCATCCTGGCGTGGACATGCAGCCTGTCCCACGCGTGGGCACGCACCCACTGCCTCCTGTGCTGAAAGCCAAGACTTTTGCCAAGCCAGACGCTGGTAGGTAGTGACAAGCACAGGTGCACCAGGTAACAACATTTCAGGGCCGTGAGCCAAGACTCCACAGCACGTAGCCCGACGTCTGCACACCCGCGGCCCCGCCGCCAGCGCACACCTTGGAGCATAGCCTGTGGCCACCTGACTTGCTCATAGTTTGGATCCAGAGGCGAAAGCCCTGGGCCTGTCTTAGTTGGGTCCAGTTGGCCGCGTTAGGCGAGAGGGTCCTCACGAGAAGACCCAGCTCACATTACCGGGATAACCTGGCTCTCCTGTGGCAAGAGATGTGGATGCCAGAAATTGTGTTGGAGTAGCAACGCCCTTGTTTGCCCTTTACTGTGAGGGACTGCTCTGTAAGGCAGACTTGCGGTCGCAGAGCCGTGAAGATCTGCTGACACGCGTGGACAAGCAGCAGACGGCAAGCTCCGGGACGGGGACCGCCACAGACCCGAGTGCTAGAGTGGTCTCGGCACATCTGAAAGCCCGGACCCACACTGTCATGCCGGCAGTGGTGCACAATGGGTTCCAGCCTCTGGGAGGCTGGGGCAAAAGGACTTTGGAGTTTTGAGGCCAGTTTGGGGAAGCACCAATCACTGAGCGCTTTCCTTTTATAAAAATGACATAAACTATGTCCCATTTTGGCTGTAAAATTACAGGTAATGTTAAGGAACTAGACAAAGTGGGGCACAGCAGCGCACACTTGTAATACCAACACTCAGATAACTGAAGTTAAATGCCAGCCTGGACTACATAGCAAGACGCTGTCTCAAAAAACCAAAGTTGACACAAGTGCTTGCCTGGCAAGCGCAAGGTCCTGAGTTCAATTCCTGGTACCAAAAAAAAACAAAACAAAACGAAAAAGAGGGCTGGGCATATAGCTCAGGGGCATAGCACCTGCCTGTCAAGTGCAAGGTCCTGAGTTTGATTCCCAGTGCCAAAAAACAACAAAAAGAAAAAAAATTGCCAGGGATATAGCTCAACAGCGTAAGTGCTTGCCTGGCAAGCCGGAGGTCATGAGTTCAATTCCTGGTACCAAAAAAGAAAAAAAAACTGACCATATTTTAATTCAGTGCTAAAACAGTGCAATTCCTGAAAACTGGAGGTGATTTAACCAATGCCATACAAGCTGTTCTACACGATAGGGCCCTAAACCTGTCTTGTAAAACCCACATTTCTAAATACTGTACATGTATCAGGTAACCCGCAGCAATCCTCAGCAACGCGGCAATGTATCAATGACGCTTTTTTTTGGTACCGGGAACTGAACTCACGACCTCGTGCTTGCTGGGCAGGCACTGTGCTGCTGAGCTACATCCCCAGCCCGGTGTGACAGTCTTTACAATCCCCACAGCAACTATAAATGCTCCGTAAGTCTGTATCCTAAAGTAGCATCAAGAGCTGGGTGTGGGGGTGCAACCTGTAATCCCAGCTACCCCAGAGGCTAGGCAGGAGGATTGAAAGTTTGAGGCCAACTCTAGCAACTTAATGAGACCCTGTCTCAAAGGGCTGGGAGGTGGGTAGCTCTGACTTCCTGGTTCAGCCACCAATACTGGAGAGAATGAATTCAGGCCAAGCACCAGATTTTCAAGCCTAGTGTTCAACAAATAAAACCATCCAGTGTGAAAGCTAGTTCCAACAGGTGCAATCCACAAGGCAATAATAAAAATTTCTGGTAAGACTTAATCAAGACACAAATCGGATTATAAATCTATACTTTTATTACGACAAAAACTGACAGTGTAGTATGAAGTTTACATTTAAAGAAAAATTTCACAGAAATCTAACACATGCCTAAAAAGACTTTACAATGTAGCTCAAGACAATGTCAAGAACTGCTGGATCTCATAATTGAAGGCAGAGCATTTTGGGTAGCAGTGTTAACGCTCAAGTTTTTTTCCCCCCCGAAAATTGGCTTTGTGTTTTAAACTGAACCACTGCTCCAATGTGAAAGGTAATCTCCTGAGACCAGGGCTTCTGAAATCGCTCCACCTTTGAACGGACACAATGAAGTTTGTGCTGTCAGTGACTGAACTCTTGTCACTAATGATTTCAGAACTCCAAGCTCAAAATCCCAAGGCCCCAAATCTCTACCCTAAGAATCTGGGCCACACTGTCCCCAGCTCTGCTCCCCTCCTCAGCCCTCCCCTAGCACTTCCGCCGTGGCGTGGATGGACAAGCAGCTGTCCTGTCCTAACTTCCTGGTGGGAGAGAAAGGGCCTCTCGTCTAACCGAAGAATTAGCACCGCTGAGACGGGAGGGTCTGCCTGGGGATGCGCCCCGGGGTTCCCGCCTCAGTCTGTCTCCGTCTCCACAATGGCTGCTTTGGTAACTTAGGAGCCGCTCAGTCCTTGGGGACAGCGCTCAGGCCCCACCGGGACCCTGGGCTGGGGGGTTTCGGGCATTCACAGCTTCTAACCAGTCTCTCTCAGTCCCCATTTAGGGTGCCAATGACAGTTTTTGAGAAGGTAAAATATTCTGAACATAGAACCAAATCATTAAGTTGTTCTGTCCACTGTTCACCACTTCCCTACTCAGGGCCCACACTGTCATCAGAACAGCCCTCCCGACTCCCTCCCGCCCGCCCCCCCAAATAATACACCAGGAATAGCCGAAAACTACACACATGCTACGCTGTAAAAATGTGGCGTGAACACTATCGGGAAGAAGGCTGTGGGTTGCGGAGATGCTCTTTGAAGACGACAGTATCTTTCTGCTCCCACGCACCCGCTCCTGCAAGTTCTGTCCTTCACAGAAGGCCCTTTGCCGGCCAGCAAAGCACAGAGTGGCCGCAGTGACCGCCGCCCTGCCTGGGCGGGTGCGCCCGCACAGCTGGAGCGGCTGGTCAGCACCCGGGCTGCAGCAGGCATGGAAACGATACTGGCTCTTCAAAGGACATCTTCCCAAGCCACCTGTGCGGTATCTGGACAAGCAGAGTGCCTTCCTTCCCCCTGGAGACCCAGCCGGAGGCGACGGGCTGGTCCCCAAGGTTTAGTTCTTGTCGTCTTTTTTGTCGTCATCCTCCGAGGGGTAGGAGTGCCACGTCAGCCGCTCCTCGTAGAAGGAGATGACAACCTGTGGGCACTTGACGTTCGCCTCCTTGGCAGGGACCAGGTCGGCCTCATCGGAGTTCTTCCTGCAGACAAAAGCACAGAGACTCTGAACCAAGCTGGTGGCACATGGCACAAACCACCCAGGGCCGGGCTTACAACCCAGATGCGGGACCAGGCTCGGAGGGTGAAAATGTGGCCCCCAAAGCCTTAGCAGCCCTGTAGTCATGTGACAACGGGGAGACCCCCCCCCCCCGACACTCTGTTGTAAATCCCCTCAGAGATGGGTCTTGTTTACTTCTTTGGGAAAAAGTCTTGCTTTAGCTCAGGCTGGCCTTGAACTTCGGTATCTGGGGAATCTTTGTCAAAATCTAGGTTGCTGACTCAGTTCCATCTGAACTCCTAAGAAAGTTAACAAAAAAAACCCCAAGACCCTGTAGATGAATCTCCTGCCTCAGCCTCTCAAGCAAATGAGATTATAGGCACATGCCACTATAGCCAGCTTTTCCCGAATTTTTTTTTTCTTTTCCCCCCAAGTTATTTTTTTGTACCGGGAATGGAACTTAGGACCTTGCACCTGCCAGGCAGGCGCTGGTACCACTGAGCTGTATCCTCGGCCCCCTGTCCAGCCCTTTAGTTTTATCCTGAAGCTCTGGCTACATCACCACGTTACCAAACTGGGTTCCAATTTGCAACCATCCTTGCCTCAGCCCCCCAGAATGCTGACGTTTAAGGCATGTGCCACGGTGCCTGGCAAGGTCACTTTTAAAAGTAAACTTGGTTTTATAACTAACATGTTTTCTGGGGAGGGAGTCTTCTGAGACAGGGTCCTGATATATAGTCCAGGCTGGTCTTGAATTCATACTGTTCCTCCTGCCTTAGCCTCCAGTGTCCTGGGGTTACAGGTGTGTACACCACCAAGCCCAGCTGTTAATACTTCATCTTAACTTGTGGATGCCAAAGAAAGGGATGCAATCTTAAGCAATACAGAGATAATACCGTAACTCAGACCAGGCACACACACAGAAAAGCACATTCTAACTGCACTTACTTATGAACTCCTCCCTCTTTCTTCCATATGCAGCCCGTTGGAAATGAGCTTTTCTCAAATACAGGCCAGCAAGCGCCAGTTAAAAGAGGGCCAGATGTAGGATGCACGGATGGCCACGGCATATGCCTGTACGTCCAGCACTTAGGGAGGCTGAAGCAGGAAGAATGCCAAGCTTGAGCCCAGCCTGAGCAATTTATGAAACCCTGTCTCAAAAAATGTGGATGGGTGGGCAGGCTGGAGGCACTGTTCAGGGCTGGGTTCAATCCCCGGCCGGTACTGGCGAGAAAAAGAAATAGAAAAAAGGCCAGGTGTAGTGACGCACACATGCAGTCCCTGCACTCAGGAGACTGAGGCAGGAGGATTGCTGCTGAGTTTGAGCACAGCCTGGGCTACATAGTTCAGGGACAGCTTGCACTACATAGCAAGACTGTCTCAAAAAAAAGCAAGAAAGAAAACAGAGCTAGTGACACAGGCCTTTTTAGTGGTGCTGGTCAGGCCTCTCCAGCCATCTTCTTTTTCAACTCTGGGGAATGACCCCAGGGCCTCCCATATACTAGGCAAACACTTTAGTGCTGAGCTACAGGGGCTCCCCCAGCTGGGCTCGAACTTTTAACTCTCCTGGGTTGGGTCATAGACCCAGAGCGGAGTTTCAGAAGGCCCAGACCCACAGAAAGACAAAGCCATGAAAGCGCTACCTTCCTCCGCCTTCGCTAGAATCATTCCTGCCTGTGCTGATTTAGTTTGTGTTCTTTTCTTTGGTGCTGCGGAATGAAGAGGACCTGCCTGAGCACACCTCCTCCCTTCAGTGTGTATGTTACAGACAATAAGACCTGGCACGGAGGAAAAGAGCAGGCACAAACATCTTCAACTAGGAAGACAAAGGGAAGAAGGGCTTCTTTTTCGGTACAGGGTAACGACGTCAAGCTGCTTTGTAGTCAGGTGCGGCACAGGTGTGATGTTCTGTCACCAACAAAGCTCGTGTATGACAGTGGCCTCATACAGGAAGGGAGCTTAAAACTCCTACTACCCAGCGACACCGCGGTACAGCACTCCTCAGGGACCCGCGGTGATGCTGGTGTAAGTGAATCTACTCGACCCTCAGGCACACCAAGGCACAGCAACACGGTCTGCTCGGCGCACAGTATGCGACAACGCACGGAGAAGCTGCGCGCTCCTTCCGCTGAGACTAAGACAGTTGTGGCACTGCGTGCCGTGACGGCATCGAGGACTATGTGGCGAGATGTAGAGCACGTTCTGTGGTGGCTGTGCAACAACGAAATGGCCTAACCACGCACTTCTTTTTGTTTTTGAGGCAGAGTCTTGTCATTTGTCGCTCAGGTTGGCCTTAAAGTCGAGGCAACCCTCTTGCCTCAGCCTCCTAAGTGCTGGGATTAAAGGCACACACTCCCCATACCCGGCTAATAACGCGTCCTCAGATGTTGCCCTGTAATTAAGGGATGCATGCCTGTATTACTACCACTAGCATTTGTATTTTAATGGGCAAAAAGCAGACTCATGGGATCGACAGTAAAAAGGCCTTGCTGACCCCTGCTGGCTGATCCTGGAATTGCAGAATCTGCAGGAATACAATTTTTTTCCTAATCAAAGTTTTGCAGAATTTTTGATTTCGGGCCAGCCCAATCTTTATCAGGAGGAGGTGGAAGAGGAGGGGGTGGAGTCACATTTCATATTTTCCTCCACTTAAAAAACTGAAATATGATTACATCCCAAAGCCTCTCCACTTTATGGATCTTGTTCCCCACCTCAAAACAAAAACACCCCCAAAAACCAAAAAGAGCAAAGCTCTCCCAAGCCTGTGGGTCCCTACCTGTAACTCACGAGTCCAGGCTGGCAGCCAGGCCAAGGGTCACTAGCAAAGGACTATGCCATCCTAGAGCTTTCGGACTGGCACATGGCACTCTGAAGGTCCAGCTTTTTCCTCTGCCTGGAACAGAGGAGTAGAAGGAAGACAGCCAGGCAGACTCACCATTTCATGAGGAACATGAGCTCTCCGCTGGAGTCCGTGGCACCAATAATTCGCTCTGGCTCCAAACCTCGGGCAAAGCCTCGTGGCTTCTCCGACTGAAAACCAGAGGGGGAACAATTTTATCTCAATGGGACTGTGAGCAAGAACAGAGCTACGCTGCCATTTGGTGCCCGTTATAAAAATTCTGCCAGTGTACTTCACTGCCACCCGGGCTCCAGGCAGCGGGCCTTTCGGTCTCTCATGTGTGACGTGGAGCACACCCCGATTACAACATCTGCTCCCCACTCTCTCCATCCTCAAGACAAGTACCCAAAGGCACCGAGTAAGAAGCGCTGACGATCAAAGCGCTGAAAGCCACCTCCTCCAAGGAAGGGCTCCCTCGCCCTTCTGCCTGTCCTGCGCCTGCGCCTGCACCGCAGCCCCGGCGCGAGGGCGAGCCCGGAACTGGGCGAGCACCAGCGCCCTGCGGCGCCCCAGCGCGGGGAGGCAGCTGCTGAGGCCCGCGAGGCCAGGGAGAGCACCGGCCCCGATGCTCAGGCCGTGGCCGCTGGCAGCAGACACCAGGCCGGCGCGCGCTCCCGCCGCCGCCGCTCTTACCTCTTCCTTCTTCTTCTTTGGTTTGCTTTCCTCTCCCTTGTCTTCCGAGTCAGAGTCGGCCTTGCGCTTGCCTCCCTCTGATTTGTCTGTCTCGTGTGCCGTTTTCTGCGACTGCAGGAACTCGGCGATGAGGTCGGGGCAGTCCAGGTTCTCCTCGGGCTCCCACGTGTTGTCCTCACTGAAAGCGGAGGGCACAGCCGGTCACGCTTTGGCTCAGATAGGAACGAGGAGGCGCGTGCGCGTGAGCAGTGAGTACACTCTGAGCTTAGAGACGGCCGTGCAGAAAAGCTGACCACTCCTCTCTGAAGCTGTGGACTGGGCCACAGCGTGCATGCGCGTGCGCACACACGCACAGAGGTGTGCACACACACACAGGCACGCACGGCCCCTCGGGGCGCTCCCGTCCCCCCCGTGGAGCGGAGGCGGCACTTACTCGGAGAAGCCCTTCCACTTGAGCAGGTACTCCACTTTGCCCTTCACCACCCGGCGGTCCAGCACCTTCTCCACCACGTACTCCTCCTCCTCCTCCTCCAGCACCTCCTCCACTTTCTTCTTGTTTTGTTTCTTCCCCATGGTGCCCGCCAGCTTTCTGGTGTGAAGGGTGACGCTGCTGCGGCGGGACAGGAGGAAAAGGCGTCAGGACACACGGGCTGGATGACTCCCTGGATGGTGACAGGACCGGGCCACCACAGGTGACTTTGGTACCGTATGCTGCTTACAGAGTGCTGTGGCTGCTCACTGCCGAAACGGCAAGATGTCTATCCCTGTGTGTCCCCCGCAAACGTCTGCGCCTGGGCCCTGCGATCCAGAAGAGCTCCCGATAACCCCTTGCCATTGAGTATGGCTCTTAAAATACTGCGTTAAATCGAAGTGGGGCTCAGTGGCACACACCTACCATCCCAGCACTCAGTAGGCTGAGGCAGGAGGACCTTGAGATCAAGGCCCGCCTGGGTACATAGTGAGACCTCTCCAAACAAATAACCCTAAATGCTGCATATACGTCAGACTTACACATAATTCTGATACATGCCTTCTTCCATTCTCTGGATGTTTTGCTTTACCTTATAGTGCTGGATTTGAATTTACTGCAGGAACCAGGAAGGTTGAACCCTTTGCATTGAACTATATGCCCAGCCTTTTTATTTTTTGAGGTAGGGTCTTGTTAACTCACAAAGTTGCCCAGGTTGGCCTCAAGCCTGCCATCCTCCTGCCTCAGCCTCCCACAGTGCTGGGACGGCAGGTGTGCGCCGCCACACATGGCTGTCTTCTCACCGATACGTCATCTGTGATGTGGTACAGTCTGCACGGTCGCAAGCTCCTGAGAAGCTCTTTCCCTCAGTCTGCCCTGAACACCAGTAAATACTTACAACTCATAATTCTTTTACATTATGGAAGCTCACAATTTAAAAATATTTATTTCACAATTACTTCTAAGGCTGAGGAATACGCACAAAAATGCCAGAATGACTACAAGTCTTTAAGCTGGAGCACAGCAGTAATTTGGAAAAATGCAGCTACCACAAATAGGATCTCTGTGTATTTATTTTTGTGGGCTTGAACTTAGGGGCACTAGATTATTCTCCAGCCCTTTTGATTTTGAGACAGAGTCTTGTGTTATATTGCCTAGAATGGCTTTGAACTTGTAATCTTCCTGCTCTAGCTGAGATTACAGGCAGGAGGGCTTTGAGTTAGGTGTGGCACATGCCTGTGATCCCAGCCCTTGGACGCTGAGGCAGGAAGATCAAAAGTTCCAGGCCAGCCTGGACTATATAGCAAGACCTAGGCTCAGAACAAAACCAAACTGTATCAATGGGTTGGGCAACATCTAAAGTTTTTCCAGAATGAAAATTCTAGTCCAGCTGGGCATTGTAGTGCATGATTGTAATGCCAGCACCCTGGGAGGCTGAGGCAGGAAGATTGCAAGCTCATGCTTGCCTGGGCAACTTGGTGAGACTCTATCTCAGATTAAAAAATGAGCTGGGGATGTAGATCAGTGTCATGGACCTGGGTTCAAGCCCCAGTTCTGCCCTCCCACAAAAAATTTAGAAGTCCCTGTGAACCTATTATCCTCAGTCTTTCATCCAACTCTAACCTCTGGCAGGCTCAAAGCTTTCTCAGGACCACTTTGTGTCAGTAGATGGCGCTCTGAGATATCAGTAAAACAAAAGTTGACAAAACTGGTTAAAGGACAGGTGGAAGATATTTTAAGACAAGGAGTTACTGCTTGGAAGGAGTTGAGACAGTACCAGTTTGGGACCTCCCTGGTCCCAGAAGATAGGAAGTCAGGGGAGAAGGCTGACAGGGGAATGGGATGGAGAGGGGGAGAAATTCTCCTAAAAATTTTTAAGAAAACAAGCCAGCTATGGTTGTGCACATCTATAATCCCAGAACTCTGGCAGGCTGAAACAAGACTGGAAGTTTGAGTCCAGCCTGAGCAACTGAGCAAGCATTCAAACCTGTCTCAAAATAGAAAGGGTTAGGGATGCAGCACAGAGGGAGGGTCCTGGGTCCAACCCCACTACAGCGATCAGTCAGTCAGACATGTTCCCTCTGTTCCAGGTCCTGCCCCGCACTTATTATACTGGCAGCACTGACAATTACTATACTAGTGACAGCTGGTTCCTAGGGGGCTGTGGTAACGTGCAAGTCTGACTCTACAGTACACATTGCTTTTCGTTGTTTTCCTGTTTTGTTTTTTGTTTTTCTTCCGGTACCAGGAATCGAACTCACAACCTTGCGCTTGCCAGGCAGGCGCTTTTGCCACTGAGCTAAATCCCCAGCCCTCTTTTCGTTCTTTTCTGAGACAGAGTCTCACTATTTAGTCCACGCTAGCCTTGAACTCAAAATCTTCCTGCATTAGCCTCCCAAATGCTGGGATTATAGGCATGCACTGCTGCTACACCCAGCTTGGCACATACAGGACCTCCAACTGTTTACGTGGGTGACACGGCAGTGGTGGGAACCTATGGCACGGGTGCCACAGAGGCCTGTTTGTTTCAATGAAAGCTCTAAAAGGCTCAGTATCGCTGAATTAAGGTTCAACAATGATGTTGTAGACCCCCATATCTAGTTAATTAAGTTGCTATAATTTTTACCTAAATATTTATGAAGTCTGCTACATTTTAAAGTTCCTAGAAAAATATTACTTGGCACTAGGTTTTGTACTTTATTTTTTTGACACAATCTTTTAAAATTTAATTGAAATTAAAAGCTGTAGAGAGCTAGGTGTGGTGGCACACACCTATAATCCCAACACTCAGGAGGCTAAGGCAGGAAGATTGTTGCAAGTTTGAGACCAGCCTGGGCTACAAAGTGAGTTAAAGGTCAGCTTGAACTGCATATTGAGACTCTATCTCAAAAAGACAAAAAAAAAAACAAAACAAAACAAAAAAAAAAAACAAAAAAAAAACCAAGAAACAAAACAAAAAAAAGCTGTAGAATATTGGGAATTAAATTCAGGACCTCAAGCCTGCCAGGCAGGCGCTGCGCCGCTGAGATAAATAGCCAGCCTTGTACTTTAGTTTACCAAATACTGTCAGTTTATTTCTTTTGATCCTTAAAACCACCACCCTTCAAGATAAGCTGTTCCTGTTTCTGCCTCACAAATAGAACAGGTTTTGATTATTAAGTAAGTCGCTTAGGGTCACACAAACGACAGCCTAGCACTTCAATGAGGACCACCAGCAAAGCAAGGCAAGCAGTCCGGCTGCACCACAGTCAGAAGCCCATGCGGAAGACCCCTCTGGCCCGGGGCAGAAAAAGCTCACAGAGGTGTCTGGACATGAGACCTCTCAATAATTTGTCACAGTAAATAAGGAAGAGACTAGTAGTGGTTTTCTTTCATAAAACACCTTCGAAGGTATGAATGTGTTAAAAACCCAATGATTTTTCATTGGTTTGTACTCCTTGTTAATTTTATGACAGCAGGCAGTAACAAAGCTTTTTTTTTTTAAACAACACAGCCTCGAGTTTTGAATCTTTAACTGCAAGCATTAAATGATGCAGAATTTTTGAAGTTAAAAATCTAGCAAGTAAGCTAGACATGGTGGCAAAAGCCTGTAGTCCCAGCTACTCGGGAGTCTGAGGCAGGGGGCAGATGCCAAGGTCAAGACTACGCAGGCCTCAGAGCACACAGGGCATGCTGTCTCTTGTAAGGAAAGTGAGGGACTGGGCTGTGGTTCAGCATAGAATGCATGTTTGAGGCTCCGGAAGCAAGGATCTTTAACCCATAACTCTTTTAAGAAAAGAAAGGGCATTTGTGCTATTCTTCGTCAAACCTTCATTCTGCCCGTGGGAGCCAGAAAATTACAAAAACAAGGCTTCGGCTTTTGCATTTTGAGACAGGGTAGTCTTGAACTCTCCTGCCTCGGTGCCAGACTCACAAGCATGTGCCACTCTGCCCGATGCAATGCTGCCTCTCCAGGGCAGAAGACAGGAGGCCAGCAGACGTTGTCGGACCACTTTGTTTCTGAAGAGTTGCTACTTGTACTGTGAAGGGTATGAGAAGGAACAGAGAAGCCAGTGTGGGTACAGTGCCCAGATGCTACCACAAAACTCTCAGGAACATTCATGAGACCAATTCCTTGCCAGCCTGGAAAATCAAGTTCTACATGCCAAGCCACACAGCAGACCTCCAAAACAGGGCTTTCAGCTGAAGGCTGGGCTAAAGCATCTAACAGGTTGCTCTTAGCCAGTGCAGGGGAGTGTGACTTGGGAGTTCCAGCATGTGGGTAACTGAGGCAGCAAGCTATCTTGAGCCTAGGTGTTCAAGACCAGATGCACACTGCAATGCCAGCACTCTGGGAGGCTGAGGCAGGAGGATAGCAAGCTGGAGGCCAGCCTGGGCAATTTAGCAAGCTAGTAAGTGCCTGTCTCAAGATTTAAAAAAGGGAGCCAGGCGTGGTGGTGCACGCCTGTAATTCCAGCACTCGGGAGGCTGAGGCAGGAGGACTGCTTCGAGTTCAAGGCCAGCCTGGGCTACAAAGGCCAGCCTGAACTGCATAGTGAAACTGTGTCTCCAGGAAAAAAAAAAAAAAAAAAGGGTTGCAGATGCAGCTCAGTGTGAAGGCCTTAGGTTTAGGCCTTAGTATAGCAAAAGCAAGAGAAGTTGGCAAACCAAACTGTTTCCTTTTGTGAACACCAAAAAGTTTATTTTCACTATAACTATTATTATGTAGTAGGTATGAGACAATAAGAAAATGTCTCAATTTCAAAGAAAACCCTGGTATGATTCAGTCTTTAACAATAAGCCCACCGTAAAAAACATTCATACAATGGTTTGGATTATTGAAAAACAAGGTTAAATTTTTTTTTTTTGAGGCAAGGTTTCACTGTGTAGCTGGGCTGGCCTTGAACTTATGGCGATCCTCCTGCCTTGGCCTCCCAATGGCTGGGATTACAGGCATGTGCCATCATGCCCAGCGAGGTCAATTTTCTTGTGATTCAAATATCCTATACTAAAAAAAAAACCCAAAACTTCCTTTATTAGGATATCAGCTACATAAATGAATGGGGTTCATTTTGCTATATCTATACATACATGTAACTTGCTTTGATCATTTCCCCCCTCCCCAAAATAGAAACTCTGAGTTGAGAACATACACTTCTACC